GCCAAGGAATGACCCGGCCGGGTTGTGTGACAAGGCCCTTCTGACGACGACGCCCTCCTGGTGGTCGATTGATCTGTCCTCACTCTACGGCCATAGATCGATTCGTTGCGGCCGTCGCCGCCGCCGCCGCCGCCGCGGTGGGTGTGTTTTGGTGGAGGCGAGTTGTTGACGTGGTCACGCCACGCGACGACTGTGCGCCTAGATGCTGTCGGCCGCCCGTCTGGGGGACGGTCATGCGATGGGCTAAACACGAGACGGGGCGAGAGAGAGAGCGCGAGAGGAAGGGAGGTGGGACGGTAGGTGGGGCTTCAAGGCCTAAACAGGTACAATTGGGCGAACATACGGCGACGGAATGAGTAAGCAGGCGAGGGAGAGAGAGAGAGAGCTAATTGGCAGAGCGGGGTGAGCTCAACGCAGGCGCGTATGGACGCAGGCGATTGCGCCTCGCGAGTCTTCGCCGCCATTTAAGTATCTGTTCCAGACCACTACCGTCAGACCGACAGGAGCCATGTCGGCGGCGGAGAGCGCGCGAAAAGGGGAGAGAGAACATTCGGCGCATGACGTGAAAGTCGGTTGTTTTTGGACATAGTGGGATGACTCTAGGAGTTTACAGCTTCCGTTGCTGACGCTTTCGCAAATGCCGCCGACGGCGATGAGGACGATGTCGGCGGTGGTGGTGGTGGCGGTAGCGATGATGGTGACAACGGCTTTGGTGATGTGCACGTCTGGACGACAGGTGCAGGTAGAGGAACCCGTCGCCTCTGGTTAACGAACGAAATGTTTCATTTTTGTACATGTATACTCTGAGGCAGGGAAGATGGCATACAGAGAGGGAGAGAGAAACACGGATGTGCTGAAGCCGAGAGGAGATTTTTCTTTGGCACTTCTCCCTACCGATCAGTTCGAGGTTTGGCTCTTCCTCCATGCAGGTAAGTTCAGTCTTTAAAGTCACTCCTACACAACAGTTTATGCTTTTTAACAGACAATATTTGCATTTATGCTAGAGTTCACTCAAGCTGAAGAGCATTAGAAAGATTAAAAAACGACCCCTAACTCACTGCCAGTCAATGAACAATTGGGATAAATTTTTCTGAAGATACAAATCTTATTTATAAGGAGTTACAGATTATCAGTTATTTTGTAGAGCTGATTGGACTAGAAACAGCGACTACTAAGTCGGTTGTTCGGCTTTCTCTTCAATATCCGTCCCCAGAACACCCTATTTATTGTTACTGGCCTTGTTTGCTCGGTGCATCCGGGTAGGCTGTAGGCGTAGAACACCACTGATCACTTTTTTCGAACGATCGATTTTCCAACTTTCACTCGTTTACGTCGCACGGTAAGAGCAGTGAGCTACCGGAAGCCGTAGTAAGCGTATGCTGTAGCGGCGCACCTTAAGTGTATTTTGAACATGAGCAAAGAATACCGGTAAAAACACATAGGTAAGATGTGGTTATGTAGCCGGACCTGATGGACACAGTACTGTTGATTTAATTAATTATTTTGAGTTGGTGTGATTACGTTGGCATGGTGTTGCTGTGCGTTGCGGTGTGTATTCTTTTGGCGGCCTTGTCTCTTTGTTGCCGTGTCTACCTTTTTTGGTCCAATGCCGGTGGTCCTTTCTGAATTTTAGCCTGTTGTCTCCTTCTAACTTCTGCGTTGGATGCTTCAGGGTTAGGATTCAGGGCTGCGGTTAAGGCAGTAGCGAAAGGAATAAGTTGTCTTGGGTCCTCTTAACCTGGACGCCAGAATCACCACAGTGGATGCTTCTTGGGGAGAGAAACCAAGTCAGCAGCTCGCCAAGGGGCCCTTTTGTCGTGAGGCATTGGGGCCTGGCTGCTTTTTGAGAATTTTTGTTGTACACACGTTGATAGGGATTACGGGATCTTTCATCCCGTTTTCCTTCGGGGCTCCATCTAGATGTCCGAACACAGTCGCGCAACAACTAGTGATGAGTGTAGAAGGAGATTATCGATAAGGGCAAAGAAGGGTGGGGTGACGATTTCTGGCTTATTAATTGTCGTCAACTAACCTTATCAAGGCCAGGTTCGGGGGCGCCTGAGGTCGGAACCCGAGTTGCTTTGGTTACGCACATACATGCATATGTATGCAGAGCAACATCAATGACAAAGAAATTGGAGGATGAAATGGTCGTTTCTGGCTTACTAGCCATCGTTAGCCAGTCAAACCAGGTGTTTCACACCTCATGTTTGGATATGACAGGCTGACGACGGTTACTACTCCAATCGCTCTTGTCTTTGTCGGTAATGTATCATACGCGCCGGTGTGCGGCTACCGGTTGGGCGACCTAGTCGGGACGACCGAGTTCCATAACACGACTGGTGAGAGCCCCTCTACTGCATGTATACATATATGTTGGAATGCAGGCATCCAAAGAAATTAAATTCGAAAGCAAATACGTCCTTTGGGAAAAGTAGAAAACTTTATTCAGTAAATTTTCGACGCTTGTTCCCCAGATCGTCTTCAGACTTGAGCAAATGTGGAAGTCTGTCTCTACACGCATCCATGAACATCAACTGGCAGTTAAAAGAGAGACCGCCTGTCTCAAATGGCTATGCACACTCTAGACACTGGACACACCTTCGCATGGGACAAAACTCGCATAATCGGAGTTTGCTCCTCTACAAAGGGCCGAGAGATTCTCGAAGCCATGCACTCCGATGAATCATGCATTAGTCGACATATTGGGTTAGATTACACGTATAGAAATCTCAGGGAGAAGTAGAAGAGAAGAGAGCTAATCAATACTGAATGACGCCTACGGCGGCAGCTTACTGGCGCAAACGTAAAATGAATATAGATTTTTCAGCACGTTCGAAATGTTAATTGTTTTTGCATATTTGCTGAAGTATGACGACGACCTGGGGAACCAGCATCGAACATTTAATGAATAAAATTTTCTACTTTTCCCAAAGAGCGTATTTGTCTTCAAATATATGTATATGTCGGGAGTACCGTATAATAGTTTGCCATGTACATTTCATAACACTCGTAGTATTCCTTGTTTGTAGAATGGACACTACGTGGTTATTACACAGTAGTTGATTGCCTTGGACTCAAATGTTCATTGAAATTTCCAGTCTGACCCTAAAAAAGTCATGTCTCGGAGACTTAACCTCATGTTGTGCACTGAATAATTGCTGAAATTATTTGCTTGATATGTATATGTACATGAACATATTAGAAATTTATAAGTCCTCTGGGAAGTGTGACAAACTTTATTCCGTAAATTTTCGACACTGGTTCCCCAGGTCGCCTTCGGAAGTATGGTGGATATGTAAAACAGTCAAAATTTTTAAAATTGTCTAAAAATCGATACTGTCCTTTTATTCTTGCCAATAATTAATGACCTAGACTGTTACTTCGTGTCGAAAATGTATGGAAAACAGTTTTTCGTATTCCCCAAAGGGCTTGTTACTTCTTAACCAAACTTCTTAGCATGCTCATCTCTCAATATATATATATATATATATATATATATTATGACAGATGGTCACTCACCGATCAGGTTATGTAATATGCTCGTTCCGTTGTGCCCTGGGGCTCATACTAGAAACCTCGCAGGCAGTCGCACAATGATTAGTAGTAGTAGTAGTAGTAGTAGTAGCAGCAGTAGTAGAAGTAAATGTCAGGGTGTCGACAAAGACAAGGGAGACTGGAATAGCCATTTCTAGCTTGTTAACCGTCATCATCCAGTCATACCCAATCCCAAGTGTGGATCACTTGAGTTTGACACTCTACCATTGAGCCACGGGCCCATTTTCCTGTCGGTTGTGATCGGAAATATCCATTAGGACAGATGGGTACTCACCGATCAGGTCACGGAACAAACATGCGGATGCCCAGGTTTGATGAAGTGATTATGACCCATCTGCTAGACCCCGATTGTGAACCATCTGTGCGGTGTATAAACGCATGTGTACATGTGATGATACCGAGAAAGACAAGAGAGATCGGAATGGCTACACTTGGGGTTGAGTATGGCTGGCTGATGACGGCTAGCAGGCCAGAAGTGACCTTCCCCGTTCCCCTTGTCTTTGTCGGTGTCATCTCATTTACCTGTACTACTAATCGTTGTGTGGCTGCCTGCGAGGGCTCCACTGTCATAATTAATATTCCCGATCACAACCGACAGGACAACGGGCCCGTGGCTCAATGGTAGAGCGTCAAACTCCATGACCAAAGATCCCGGGTTTGAATCTCAAGTGATCCACACTTGGGGTTGGGTATGACTGGCTGATGACGGCTAATGAGCCAGAAATGGCTATTCCGGTCTGCCTTGTCTTTGTCGGTATCATCTCATCTATGTCTACTACTAGTGGCTGTGCGACTGCCTGCGAGGGTTCTAGTATGAGCCCCAAGGCACAACGGAATGAGCATGTCCCGTAACCTGATCGGCGAGCACCCATCTGCCATAATTGATATTCCCGATCACAACCGACAGGACAATGGGCCCGTGGCTCAATAGTAGAGTGTTAAACTCCATGACCAAAGATCCCGGGTTCGAATCTCGATTGATCCACACTCGGGGTTGGGTATAACTGGCTGATGACGGCTGATCAGCCAGAAATGGCCATTCCGGTCTCCCTTGTCTTTGCCGGCATCATCATCATCATCATCATCATCATCATGTATATGTATATATACCCTTTCGCGTCTACTCTACATGCTTATATACCTCACTTCATACGGTCTTCGATGTCTGATGATCGATAACGATAAAAGTTGTCTGCGTCGTACCTATTGTACTCTTAGTAAGCTGTCTGCGTATTATATAAATGCATGTATATATGTTTCAGACGTAAGCCCTTTGCTAGAATTAAGAAATTTATTGACAAATTTTCGACGTCGATTCCCGGGATCGCTATTAGACTTGAGTAAATATACAAGAAAACAGTCAACACTTATAACGCGATCGAAAATCAATACTCCTCCGGCGTTTCTGCAGTAAGTGCCCGCCGAATATGCTATTGTGTGTCGATCGGTTCTCGTCTCTTCCATCTTCCCCCGAGATTTTTATGCATTACGTCTGATTCAATGTACCGATTAATGCATAACTCAAGTGCATGGCTTCAAGAAACTCGACTTTTTGGTAAGGCAGACGCCGACGATGCGAGTCATGTCTCACGCAAAAGTGTGCTCAGTATCTAGCGTATGCATGGCCATTTGTGATGAATGATCTCGCTGATAGTCGTGGATGCGTGTAGAGGCAGACTTTCTAGTTTGGCTGCAACATACGTCATCACACGCTTTGCATGGGATCTTGTAGACGACTTCTTTGTTCTGCGGATAGCCAACTCTATCCTTGGCGGGTGCAAGCTGACTGCGTAAGGCAGTTGCAGGTCGGTGTGCCACTCGTATTTGGTGTTTTCTTAAGTCTTTTTCAACGATTTCAGACACATTTTAGTGTAAGCGGGGTTTCACCAAGTATTTGCTTGCAAGGATTAAGTACAGTAAGTGGGCTAGCTTATAAAATGTCGACCGAAATTTCGAAATGCGCTCTCGTTTCGAAAAGATTAATTAAGTATGGTTATAAAATCTATCACCGTCCAGCATAATGCAATAATGATCCAGTTACATCAGGGTGCCTTCTCTCGAACAAACGTATTTTCGACTGCATGCAAAAACTATACTCTGCAAAAAATGACTACTTAAGTAGCGTCCAACTTTCTCAGTGATTTTCGATGCCTTTGAAAATTCAATTATATTTCATGAAAAAATGAATAAAAATATTTATTCTTTCATTTATTTGATAGAAAATTACGTCTTAATTCAATTTTATACTCGAAGGAGGAGTATTATTTCGTTTCAAAAGAGTTTCTAATAGTAAGATTTTTTAACACCGTGAAATGGCCATTCAGAAGACGTCATGTATCTGCACTTACCAATGTGGCTTGTGAAGTTAGCAATATGGCCCAAATTCACTGCTTAATTTTATGAAATACATATGGTCTCCTCTTAATACCGTAGAGAAATGTATAGTTTTCCATATGCGGAAATTATACGGCTCGTAGTTTTAAAACCCTGAATGCAAGTATAACAGCAGGTCGGGTTCAAAATTATTCGGGAATTAGAAAAGTTTTTAAAACCGAATTATACTCTCCCATCGAGTATAAACTTGGAACATGACGTAATTTTCTACCCAATAAATAAAAGAATAAATATTTTGATACAGTTTTTCATTAAATATAATGGAATTTCCCGGTTTGGTTGAAATTTCATTCGACCTTAGCCACGAGGCTGATCGAATCGGCGCCATGGTATTGACGCAAGCTTCGTTAGTCAGCATTTTGAGTTGGTCAGGTGTCGGATTTTTAAAGAACATTTTGTGGATTAGGGCTTCGTCCGCTTCCTGAAATGAGTGGCTTGTAGTCTGAACCTTACCAGCCAGTTCAGCATAATTTTAGCTTGCAGGGCTCTGGCCCTCCTACTAATCTCCTCTAGCGGCAGCGTGGTCCGTCCTTTTTTATGCGTCCGACGCACTTCATAATCACTTGGCTCAAAAGCCTCTCATATTTCTGCAGTCGAAGACGTCAGCCATAACGGATCTTCCGGATTATTTGTCTACCCTGTTGTGCCATCCCTCGCTTCGCCAGAATAGTTCATCGGCATTTGTGGAGGAATTGGATTTTACACGTACGCTTGCGACATATGAAAGACAATTGCATGTATATAGGCAAAATGTCACTAGCGACGAATACAAGGGACATTAGAATTGACGTTTCTAACTTGTCGGCCGTTACCAGCCAGTCATACCCAACCCCCGATTGTGCAACTCCCAAGGCTCGAAGCCGCGAATTGTTGATTAAAAGTCCAACGCCCTAGCCACTGAGTCGTGGGCTCGTTGCCCTGTCGGTCGCGATCAAACATGCATAAAAATATTCATTCGTTCGCTCATTCGGTAGATAATTACATCTTCTTCTAATTTTATACTCGAAAGTGGGATATAATTCAGGTTTAAAAAAAAATTCTTATTGTGGGGCATTTAAATACCCGTGAAATGGCCTCTCATCAATCGTTATATCTCTGCGTTTACCAATGCTGCTTGTAAAGTTAACAATATGGATCAAATCCACTGCTTAATTTTATGAACCCTATAAAGTCCCCCTTTATTACCGTACAGAAATGTATGGTTTTCCGTACGCGGAAAATATAAGACTTGTAGTTTGGAAATCCTGAATCCAAGTGTTACGGCAGGGCGGGTTCAAAATTATTCGGGAATTGGAAAAGTTTTTGAAAACCGAATTGTACCCTTCTTTCGAGTGTAACACTGGAAGAAGACGTTATCTTTCTACCGAATGAGCACAATAATGAATATTTTTGTGCACGTTTTCCATGAAATGTAATCGGACTATTAGGGACATCGAAAATCAATGAGAAAAATGCATGCTGCTATGTAGTCATTGTTTACAGAGCATAGTTTTTACATGCAGCCGGGAGGAAGTTCATTCGAAAGCCGGCATCCTGAGGTAACTGAAATATTATATAATTATGTTGCCGGCTGTCTAGCTTTACAGCACTTCTTAATTAATCTTTTCAAAACGAAAACGCATTTAGGAATTTCGATTGACATTGCATGAGTTAGCTCAACTACTATAGTCACTTGAATCAGGTAAATGCAGAATGATATTACCGACGAGACAGGGACACTGGGATTATTGTTTCAAACTTAATAGGCGTCATGAGCCAGCCACACCCAGTCCCAGTTCTCGCAACCCATATAGCTCGAGCCTGCGGCCTGTTAGAGGTTCAACATACTAATCACTAAGCCACGGGCACGCTGTCCTGTCGGTTGAGATCAAGTGTATTAATAGTGACAGTGGGGCGTTCAATGATAGCTTTAATATTATTCTACCTACAATACTATCGCGAGGCGACTGTCGGCGGGATTCGAGATTGAATTCCAAAGCACGGCAGGACGAGTGCGTCCCTTAACGAGATCGGCAAGCGCCCCTACAGTGTATATACAGTAGGTAGGCTATCTCATGAAATGCCAACCGAAATTTCGAAATGCGTTTCCCTTTCGAAAAGATTAATTAAGTAGGGTTATAAAACTAATCATTTTGCGGCATCATTCTATAATAATCCAGTTACCTCAGGGTGTAGGCCTTCAAATGAATTTATCTCCGACTGCATGTAAGAACTGTATTCTGCAAAAATGACTACTTATGTAGCGTGATTTTTTTTATTGATTTTCGGTGCCCCTAAAAGTCCAATTATATCTCATGGAAAACATGAAAAAAATATTCATTCTTTTGCTCATTTGGTAGACAATTACGTCTTCTCCCAATCTTATACAGGTTAAAAAAAGTTTCTAATTGTCGGACTTTTAAATACCGTGAAATGGCCGTTCATAAAACCTCATGTCTCTGCATTTATGAATGTGGCTTTTAAAGTTGACAACTTGTCTTAAATCCACTGCTGAATTTTATGAAACCCATATTATGTCCACTTAATACCGTAGAGAAATGTATGGTTTTCTGTACGCGGAAAATATACGGTCTGTAGATTGCAGACCCTGAATCTAAGTGTAACGGTAGAGAGGGTTCAAAATTATACGGGAATCGGGAAAGTTTTTGAAAACCGAATTATACCCCTTTTTCCTGCATAAGATTGGAAGAAGAAGTAATTGTCTACCAAATGAGCAAAATAATGAATATTTTTGTGCATGTTTTCCATGAAGTATAATTGGATTTTTAGAGGCATCGAAAGTCAATGAGAAAAATTAATGTCACTTAAGTAGTCATTTTTACAGAGTGTAGTTTTTGCATGCAGCGGGAAGGAAGTGCATTCGAGAGCCGGCATCCTGAGGCAACTGAAATATTATAGAATTATGTTGCAGGCTGACCAGCTTTAAAATCCTACTTAATTAATCTTTTCGAAACGAAAACGCATTTCGGAATTTCGGTTGACATTTCATGAGTTAGTCAACTTACTGTACATATATATGCCAACTAACATTACTGACGCGGTCAAGGAAGACTGGAATGGACATTTCCGGCTTATTCGCCGCTTCCAGCAAGCCACACCCAACTCCGATGAGTGCAACACCTGGGGGCCGATCCCGCGACCTGTTGGTTAAAAGTCCAGCGTCCCTAACCACTGAGCCGAGGGCTCGTTGTCCCATCGGTTACGTTTGTATATATATACAGTGGTGGAGGAGCGCTTATGGATCGTGTTACGGAAATAGCTCGTCCCGTTGCGCCTTTGACCTCCCTCGAGCCCAACCAGCAGCCGCACTGTGGCGTGTAATATGGGCAGACTACCATTACCGACAAAGAATGGAATGACGATCTCTGGCTTACTAGCCGTCATCAGCCAGCCACACTCGACCGCAATCGACAAGAAAACAAATCTCTGGCTCAGTGGTTTGGTGTGCCGGACTTCCAAACAACAGGTCGCGAAATCGACCCACAGGTGCTGCACTCATCGGAGTTGGATGTGGTGGACTGTCGACGGCTAGCAAGCCAGAAACTGCCATTCCATTCTCCTTCGTCAGTAATGTTACTCAGCCTATATTTGCGCCGTTGTCAAGATGCTGATTGGGCTCAAGAGAGAGAACTCCATGGTAAAATGGGATTAATGAGTTCCGCAGTATGATCCATTGCCTTAGCGAGGCAAACAACCTTCGTATTGATAATAGGGGTCACGAGCAGGTAACCACCTATCAGGGCGAAGTCGGTCAAGTTATGTGCACCGATGCCTGGTTAAATAAATACCCGATCTGCAACGATAGAGAATGGCAGGTGGCGAGGCACTCATGAACTTCTTTTCGATGAAGTGTTTATGACCCATCTGGTAGACCCCAGTAGTGGACCAACTTCGCCAGGAGTGTGAGCGCATGTTTGTGTTTTTTGGCTCCTGTTGTTGGTCAGGGTTATGATCGGCTGTATCAAGGTAAACAAGCCCGAAACAGTGCTGTATCAATCTACACCACCCCCCCCCCTCAGACTCTGTCGTCTCCGCTCTTCTGTCATAGTTTTGCCGACTTCGACCTGGTAGATGGTTGCCCGTTCGTGACCCCTCTCACCCATACGAAGCTTTTTTTGCTTCGGGAAGCTAATGGATCGGTGTGCGTCCATTCCTGAGTGAATATATATACATATATATTGTTGCCTCAAATATGAGCGTAAATCATCTGCATCCGCTACCTGGATTCTTTTACACGGAAGTATTGTATGTACATGCTGAAGAACAGGCAGCAAATAGTTAACAGCAAGCAATCCGTCATCGGGAAAGGATGTAGTTTGCAATTTCCACGCGTTTTGAAAATTAGTCCCCAACTGTAGTAAAGCGCCCAACGAATTATTTGGCGGTGGCCTACGCCTTTGTCAGTGTCATAACGTACCCCAAAACCTGATTTTCACTTCTTGCGGAGGTCTATGCGGCTTTTTGGTCTTTCCAAAAAGTTCAGTTCATTGTTAGTGGATAATGTCAGGTATGCATAATTTGAACTTCTGCTTCATCGCAGTGATCATCTGCGACGCAGTCTCGCTATGACAGATGGTAAGTTGATGCTCTAAAGAGCAACCTTTGTTTGTATGGAAGACTGGTGATATGTTGTTGCGCTGAACCTTGCCGCCGTGGTTTTTGGCCATTGGCGGTGAGACCCCAACAGCATGCTCCACTCCTCCTAAGAAACAAATGGCCAATCAACTGGGAATTTTGAACTACGTTTCTCCTTCTCCCATTGTCTCCGCAAATAATTCCCAATTTACCTCTTTTCCCCCTCCACTTGCAGTCCTCGTTCACGACCCTGCAGAACGTAGTACTTTTAAAACCAGTGCGACTATGCTAGCAGTTTATGAGCTCCTAACGGATCCCACCTTCAAGGCCCAGCAGCAGTCGAGCGATCGATTACTCGATCGGGACTTCGCTGGTTGTTTTGCCGTTTATCCTCCACCAAGAAGTTCTGAGGTGGAAGAAAAGGTTTGCGACTGGGCAAAGATTACACGTGTTCTTCGGCCGACAAGTACGCTGGCGGTTACGAATAAACCGTAATCGGTCCCCGCAAAAAGGAGGGCGTATTTTATGGCCAAGATGCGCCGATAAACCGATTATTTTTCGGCCTGCGCTTGGTCTATCATACCCAGTGAATAACATCTTCGTAATCAATAGGATGACCAGGCGTACAGTAGGTAGGCTAACACATCAAATGTTAACCGAAATTCCGAAGTGCGTTTTCGTTTCAAAAAGATTACTAAAGTAGGGTTTTAAAATTAATCATCATGCAGCATAATTCTAAAATAATACATTGACATCGATATGCCGGCTTTCGAAGTAACTTCTTTCTGGCTTCATGCAAAAACTATACTTTGTAAGAAATGGCTACTATATAACTATGCCTACTATATAACATGGAAAGATGGCCAAAGGCGACATCGCTCCCTCCTCGTCTATGTCATCCGGTTCCAGGAGGTAAATGGCTTAACAAAGATAAAGAATGAAACTGTATCGCCTGACTGATAAGAAGGTCACCTGAGATCAGTTCACGCTCGTAGTCACTGGGCCACCAGCATGGCTGAATTGTTATTTCGGCGAAAGACCGACACCCTAAAGTTGGACCTCATGTATGTGCTAGGCTCCACGCACAGCGATCGACCGCGCTTGCGACCACTGATGTTGAGGGGAACGAATTACTGCACTAATAACAGTCAGACAACTCCGACGAAACAGGTTCTGCAATCGCATTCCCATTCGTCAACCTTCCTCCTTTTTGATACTGTTTTACATCAAGCCCTGTAGACTCGTAACTGCGTTTTCACTCACAACAAATCATTTTTTCAGTAGTATGAGGGACAGGAATTGATCAGACTAACCTATTGCTACCCCTTCCAAATGGGACAATTTTTGAGCTTGCCACATTTGCTCATGATCGAGATGCTGTACGTCTGTGTTAGTCCTTAACCAGTGTCTTAATATATGCATGTGGCAATTGTAGGCGGCGACTTTCACGCCATGCCCGGCCCTACGCCCGCCGTCAACCCCAGTCGGCAAGAATGCTCTAACAGACAACATGCACAGAGAAGGGGGAAGACAGAGAGTGCGACCAGTTGCCTCGTGCGTTTAGGTGTAGAAGTATTGCTTTTCTAGAAAACCAGAGCAGAATAAGAGGGCAGTAAGATGTAGGAGGAGGAATGCGTGAGTCAAGGAAACGCCAAACCAACGGATGAGTAAAGGAGGAGAGGACTGCATGTCGATACTAGTACATCGTCCTGCAACTCCCATGTTAAGACGGTTCAACGTGCAGAGACTAGGAAATACTGCCTAGTGGGTCTTATTAAGGATTTCGAAGATGATGGGATACCGATTACCCATCCACCACTTACACCAATGGCTATTAACCACTGTTACACTGGTTTTCGTTCATCCTCAAGAATTCCCGAATACCACAGTCTCCAGGACTTACCTCTTTTCTTCACTTTAGCTGAAAGCTGGACTAGCAGGAAAGTGCGCAGTTGGTGGTGCAACATTTCTGTCTGTATACTGAACGCGATCGAGTCTATTCCCCGACGTTACTTACGTGAATTTATTAATTATCGTTAATGCGCTTGCAGACATTCGCCTTCTTACGCGCAGTGGAGGCATTTGAATTATACCCTTCCTTTTAGTATGAAAAATGAATACGACATAATTCTTTACCAAATGAGTAAAATAAGGGATTTTTATGCATGTTTTCCATGAAATAGATTGGAATTTATAATGGCATCAAAAACTATGGGAAAACTCGTTTTTTAGAGCGTATGGTTTTTGGAGGCGGACGGAAACAATTTCTTTTAAAATCTGACATCCTCAAGTGACTGAATTATCTTGGGATTATGCTGAATGGTGATTAATATTACAATCATGCCTAGGTAATCTTTTCGAGTCGAAAACGTAGTTCAGACTATCGGCCAGCATTTCCTGAATTAGCACATCTACTGCACATAAAGATCAGCAAATAAGAAGCAATATGGTAAAATATAACTCAATTTTCTGCTAATACATTTGCTAGAGAAGGGTGTACTGTAGGAATTTTGCAGGACGAAACTTTCAAACTGTACCGATGCGCCGTCACCAATGGAGGCGTACGTCAAACCTTTACCTTCAACAGCAACAAATGCACTTCACGCAAAGCAACAGTTAATAATGTCTTGGTGCTTTCTCGAGAGAGCGTGGCTAGGAGGAATACTCATTCGTTAAGGTTATTTTTAATTTGAGCTTGCATGCGTCTGCCCACACTATTTGACTAACGGAGCTTCTGAAGGGAACCGACGTCTGTTGGGATAGCAGCAGGACGCGTAGACGATTTTAAAAACTATCTCCTTACAGAGACGACGTAAGTCATGAAACATTTACTGAGATCCTGAAATGTGATTATGGGCAGAAAAGGTCATCTAGGGGTGCTTATGACCCTGATTATGATTCGTCATTGTCCTGAAACATTTCAGTCACGCAAGGAGGCCGACTCTTAAATGCGCGTCCTAAAGGCCACCTAGGAAATCAGACAGGATAAAACAGCACCTACTTAAGCATTGCGAGTATCCCCATTGTTTTGCGATGCACCACCTCGCCACCTGTCATTCTCTGTCGCTGCAGATCGGGTATTTATTCAACCAGGAGTGGGCGCACACCGATCTATTGGCTTCACGAAGCAAACAAGCTCCGTATGGGTGGCAAAGGTCACGAATAGGCAATCAGTTACGAGGCCGAAGTCGGCCAAGTCATAATAGCAGCAAGGAGGGACGACAGAGAATGCGGGTAGATGGATACAGTAGTATTTCGGGCTTATTGTGCCTTCATTCAGCCAATTGTAACCCTGACCACCAGCAGCTGGGACCAGAAACACAAACATGCTCACAGACGCACCTGGCGCATTTGATCCACCACTGGGGTGTACCAGATGAGATCATAAGCACTTCATCGAACCGAATTTCATCAGTGCCCTGTCGCCTGCCAGGTGGTCAGGATTATGATTGGCTGAATGAAGGCACAGTAAGCCCAAAACAGTACTGTATCCATCTACCCGCTTTCTATGTCGTCCCTCCTCGCTGCTATTATGACTTGGCCGACTTCGGCCTGGTAACTGATTGCCTATTCGTGACCTTCGCCACCCATACGGAGCTTGTTTGCTTTGTGAAGCCAATAAATCGGTGCGCGCCCATTCCTGATTGATAAATACCCGATCTGCAGCGACAGAGGATGACAGGTGGCGAGGCACTGATGAATTTCGGTTCGATGAAGTGCTTATGACCCATCTGGTAGACCCCAGTGGTGGATCAACTGCGCCAGGTGCGTCTGTGCGCATGTTTGTGTTTCTGGTCCCAGCTGCTGGTGGTCAGGGTTATGATTGGCTGAATGGAGGCACAACAAGCCCGAAACAGTGCTGTATCAATCTACCCCCAGACTCTGTCGTCTCCCCGCTGCTATCATAGCTTGGCCGACTTCGGCCTGGTAGGTGGTTGCCTGTTCGTGACCCCTATCGCCCATACGAAGCTTGTTTGCTTCGGGAAGCCAATGGACCGGTGTGCGCCTGAAACAGGGCTTGAATCTCCGACTTTTGCGGCCTAGGTTGGGGTTAGGTGTAGTTAATTATAGCCGATAAGTCAGGATTGCTCCTTCCGGTAGCATAGCGACTGAATCCTATGAATACTGCAACCCCTTGTGCATGAACCACCCATATCTGCTTTTGTCTCTGATGTGTTCGAGCACGGATCCGAAACGTCAAGCAAAGAAAGTCCTTGTCCCAGTGATCGTGTCTCCTTCTTCACGACAACAATAAGTCAGAATCGTTCTTTCTGGTCACCTCTGTCTTTACTAACATCGGTTCAGGATCATAGTTACCGTCATTTTCATTCATCCTGAAGGGCGAGGTAGTAAGCAGCCTTTTCAAAAAACGCGAGTAAACTGCATCCTTCAGTTTGAAAGACGGTAACGAAGTACAGGTTTCGTTTCCTGTTCTGTTTTAGATGCGTGCGATATAAAAATAGTTCTGTTTTTGAGCAAGGGTAGAATCTGCCCTATGCCTAGTGCATGATTTTAACTTACAGCAAGACTTTTACAACACCGCAAACAGGAAGGACTTGGTTCTTTCTTAAACCAAAAAAACTGACGGTCTTATTTTGCAGTTCTTTAGGCAACAACAGAGTTTCCCCTTTTGTATGCCCAAGTGCACACGCGTTGCTAAAAGTTGCAACTTCCCGTCCTACTGCAGACATGCTTTGTCAAGGCTACAAAGAGAAGGAAGAGGAGAAGGAGAAGAAGAAGAAGAAGAAGGAGGAGGAGGAGGAGGAGGAGGAGGAGGAGGAGAAGGAGGAGGAAGAGGAAGAGGAAGAGAGCTAATGAGCTTTATTTTGAGACAAAAGTTTCAAATTATCAGTAAGGACCCTTCTTCACCGCCACGGCCGCGGTATAAATGACTAAATGTTAAGGTGATGGAAGTGCCGTGTGAAATTATGCTACAGGCACGATGACAGATCATATGTCAACTTTCGTACTTCAATCTCATTACATAGGAGATCAGGTACTCCAGTATCTAACATCGATATTGCTCTCCACACGTATCGCAGTTGCTCGCCTGCGCATCCTGCCTTGACACCACTTGCCAATTGGCTGGGCAGTAGCATGACCTTGACGCGCCTTAAACTCGCGCAAGTCAGACCCTCCTATGAGCGTTCAGCAACCGTTACTTTTTAGCTTCGGCCCACTAATAGACTGCCTACGTACTTTGCCTACGTACTTTCCTGACGTTTGACTTAGCAGAGCACTGTTGCACTGGACACCAACTGCTGCCAGTCATCTCCAAAATGTATTTATTGGTAAACAGTCCTTATGGACGCTTATCGGACGACAGGGGTGAAGAATACTCCTCCAGTGGGGCTTTTTGTCGTTAGTGAAGACAGGCACTCAACCAGTCTGAAAAAAGGCCACTGTCCGACAGAAACTACAGTAGGGTGATCGATAGTCATGATAATAAACTTGTAATATTCTGTGTCGCACTCACTAATTGCATGTCCTCCAGTGTTCGCGTACTCTACCTACCGACCAGTCAGCTAACCAAATCAATAAATGTAGCGTGGAGGAAGTTAACAGAGTTTGTTCGTCTCGTCTTAAAGCCAAATTTGTTCCCCAAAAAAGCAATCTGCCATTCTCCAGTTTGGATAAAAAGCGTCCACTCACAGGTTGCGACCATTTATCCGGTGCAGTGGCTTAATCTTCCTTCTAAAATAAGGTGAGTGTGGATGCAGTAAAAGTGGACATGGCCAAATTTTTTCAGAATACTCGTAGATAGTCTATGCTGTTTAGCATTCATAGTGCCAAGTTTGTTGCCCATCGGGTTTAATATCGAACCCCTGACCTCTGAAACTTAGATGGCAGCTTGGCTGTTGATAGTTTGCTTCTTATTTGGCCCAAGATTTTATTCCCCGTGGGTAGGAAGCTTTTATGGTTTTATGTCAGAGTCGATCTTCCGGTCCACAATAACCCCTCGGCAATAAAAATCGTCCGCTCGTAAAGCGCGGCAGTCATTTATTCCTTCGAGTATGCTTTGTTCACCGGAACTTATAAAGCATTAAGCAAAGTACTTAAATATGCTCTGCAATGGTAAATGTGAGATCGGAGGATTCAATAAGACGAAATCATGGTCTCCTTCGACGTGACGTCGTTATTCACGTTCATCGCACCAAACTTGGCCCGCGAAGTGTTGCGGAAGAGACTTGAAGAGGCGCACGACGAGACTCAGAATGCCCTCAAAATCGAACACCTCATGAGGCGGTTTGAATTCTGACCACATACTTTCTTCACTTTTGTTGGAGAGACCTATGAAAAAATCAAGGCTCGCTGCTCCAGACGGCATTCCAAAAACGGCGAATACGACTCCATTTACATTTTTCGAGTTCTTCAGGATGCCTTTTGGACTCCGTAACTCCACCCAAACTTTCCAAAGTCTCGGGAACAAAGTCCTCCGCGATTTTTCTTTCGTTCTTGTTTATGTAGATGATCTTCAAGTTGTATGTTTCAGTGGACATCAGCACCTGCAACACCTACGCCTTATTTTTGATCGACTGAGCCAATATGGTGTCCACCTCAGTGCCTCCAAAAGAGTTTTCTGGTGTTCCCCCGCTCTTGTTCCTAGGACATCTCGTAGATGCTTTTGGTTATCATCTGTAGACGCCAGAGTTTTGGCTATTTGCGAGTTTCCTCCTTCTATTTATTTCCGACAACTGCGCTTTTTCATAGGCCTTAAAATTTTTTATTGATATCTCATCCCTCGCTACGCTCAGTTAATGTTACCCCCTCTCACACATGTTTTACGGGGCAACCACCGCGAATTTTTATTCACAGACAGCCGTGGACGCCTTCCAACTTTTCGAAAAGACGCATGTGGATTAAGTTGCTCTTCGCACTCTAACTGATGTTCCGCTCCCTACTGTTGCTGGCGCTCTAAATGCCCCATAGGTGCAGCCCTCCAGCAACAGATCCCAACGGGCCTTTAACCTATATCCGTCTACTCTGTTCAGCTGACATCCGCCAAAACTAGTTGTAGCACTTTCTTTGGGGAACTCCTTGTCCTTTATCTCTTCATTATGAATTTTCGTAACTATGTTGAAGGCAAAAAGTTTTGTATTTACACTGACCATAAACCTCTTACTTATGCCTTCTCCACCCCCTCTGGCAAGTATTCGCCCGTGAGGTCCGCCATCTTAATTTTATTTCTCAATATACCACGAATATTAGATTTCTTGAAGGGCTGTCTAATCAGGTCGCCGACTGTCTATCCCTACCTGGAATTAATGTCCCACGCGCCCTTCCATCCGCTTGGAACACATGGTCGGGCTGCAGGAGCAGGCGAATTTTTTCGAACAACCGAAGCATACTAGGCTTCACATTAAAATCATCCCCCTTCTCGCCACTTCCTATACAATATGTCCCGGCGGTTACTCGCCCTATAGTATCGAGTGAGATGCCACGAGGTGTTTTCACCGCGTTGCCCAATCTTGCTCACCCTGACATCCGGGCTACTCAGGGCCTCGTCAGCGACCGGTTTGTCTGGCCCAGCATGATATCCGCCACTGGACTCGCTCCTGTATGGCCTATCAGACATACAAACTCAGGCGTCAGAATAAGACCCCAATTGGGACCTTCCTTGAACCCGATCCGCGTTTTGCATATGTGCACGTTGATCTCGTGGGTCTTTTGCCAACATCTTGTGGTTGCAACTACTTGTTCACTGCAGCTGACCAATTTAAGCGATTGCCCATCGCAGCTCTGATCCCTAACATCGCTGCAGATACTGTCGCTCGTGCCTTTTTTGGAACACTGGATTTCTCATTATTGTGTTCCCACAATTATTACCACCGCCCGAGACAAGCAATTTGAATAAGGACTTTTTAACGCTCTTTCTGACCTCCCCAGGTGTTCTCGCATGCGCACGTCGGCTTACCATCGCTCATCCAACGGTCTAGCTGAGGGCTTCCACCATCTACTCAATACCTTGCTCCGGGCCTAAGATAAATCTACTCATTGGAGAGAGTAGCTCCTGTGGTTCCCGCGCTCAAACCCTACTTTGTGTGCGTCACCACCGAACTGGTTTACGGGACTACCCTAGGGGTTCCCGGTGGTTTTTTCGAGCCATCGCCTCAGCATCACGTGCCAGTCGCAGTGCGTTCCTGTCGTATGCAACAATTGGGCAACTGCCAGGACGCAAGGGCCAACGACCTGAAGTGAAAATACAGAGTCAGCTTGTCTCACAGTCCAGTCACGTATCGGCCTTGTCGGGAACCTGCGCCCCCGACCAGCACGACTGGAGATCGAGTGTTTAGAGTCCCCCCTAGACAACACCAGCCCCAATCCCTTCCCTGTTATTCTACGGACCTAGAGTAGGTGGGTGAACTCATGAAATGTCAACCGAAATTACGAAATGCGTTTCCGTTTCGAAAAGATTAATTAAGTAGGATTGTTAAAATAGTCAGCCTGCAAAATAATTCTATAATATTTCTGTTACCTCAGGATGTCGGCTTTCGAATGAACTTCTTTCCGCCTGCAAGCAAAATTCACGCTCTGGAAAAAATGACAACTTGAATGGCATGAATTTTTCTCCTTGATTTTCGATGCCCCTAATAGTCCAGTTATATTTCATTAACAACTTGCATAAAACTATTCATTCCTTTGCTCATTTGGAAGACAATCACGTCTACTTCCAATGTTATACTCGAAGGAAGGGTATAATTCGGTTTTCAAAATTTTCCCAATGCCCGAATAAGTTTGAACCCGCTCTACCGTTACACTTGGATTCAGGGTTTGTAATCTACAAACCGTATATTTTCCGCGTAAGAATAACCATACATTTCTCTACGGTATTAAGAGGAGACCAGATGGGGTTCATAAAATTTTGCAGTGGATTTAATCCATATTGTTAGCTTTAAAAGCCACATCGGTAAATACAGAGACATGACGTTTTATGAGCGACCATTTCACGGTATTTAAAAGTCCCACAATAAGAAATTTTTTTAAAATCGAATTATGTCCTTCCTTCCAGTAGAAAATTAAAAGAAGACGTAATTGTCTACCAAATGAGCAAAAGAATGAATATTTTTATGCAAGTTTTTAATGGAATATAATTGGACTTTTAGGGAGATCTAAAATCAATGAAAAAATGCATGTCACTTAAGTGATCATTTTTTACAGAGTGTAGTTTTTGTATGCAGCCGGCACGCTGAGGTAACAGAAATATTATAGAAGTATTTTGCAGGCTGACTAGTTTTACAATCCTACTTAATTAATCTTTTCGAAACAAAAACGCATTTCGGAATTTCGGTTGACATTTCATGAGTTAGCTCACCTACTGTACTTTGTCAAATGTTTAGAAGCGAGAGCGATCAATAAAATGTCGCCCAGTTTTCGTGCTCAGATTGCGCGCGCACCTTCACTCACTGAATGCGGCATTCCGATGACATGCCCACGCACTAGAACATCAGTCCACACTCATGCCGTAGGTAACCTAACGCGTGAAATATGCGCAACTTCACGGGAAATCAATGACCAATTGGAGAACGACCCAATTAGACCTATCTAAGGGCCATTTAGCACTGAACGACCTACGTACAAATGGAACCCCAAAAGTAGTAAACGTAATACCACGTCTAGAATATTGCCTTGGTTAGAAACAGCAAGTTTTCTTAAGAAAGGCGGAAAAGATGAAAGTTCGAATATTCTTCTCAAATGAGGAGACTAAATTTGCCAAAACCCACAATGCCTGTTCAGGCAGACATCTCCGTACCTAAAATGACATGAGCAAAACGAGATTCAATAGCATTTTTATATAATCTCCAGGGTGAATCTCA